TTAATGGAAATGCAAAAACATTCATCTCATTACATAAACAATCAAATTCCTTAGGAAGTCTGATATCCCAGAGATCCGGCAGAAGTTGCCAGTAATCATTAATATTACAGTAAGGGGCTTGACAATCATATTTATTCTTCATTAAGTTTACCTTTTTTAATGATGCTGAAAAATGGGAATATTTTTATTATTCTTTGGAACTGTGGGGATATATTGTTTTATTAATTTTATCTTCTAATTAGTAGCAATGATCAACAATATTGTCATTCACCAAACAATGTAAACCTTGAGATAATAATTTAGCCAATTAGTCCCAAATCACCAAATCAATCACATACAAGGAAAACAGTTTAATTCAGGTATTTAGTCTCCATTTTCCTTCTAGTTCAAAACAAAGAACCCTGAGGTTGATAAATTACCATCGTATCTTACCTACCTGGATGCCCAAAACTTAGAAGTAGTAAAAATTAAGTTTGTGACTCTCACAGTCTTAAGTTTGTGACTCTCCCAATTCTTTAAAGTCCTGATTCATGTCCTGTTAATATTACCAATTTGGAAATTAATAGAACGAGTTAAATAAAAACAAAATTATTTAACTACACAATGACATTTTATTGATATATTAAAGAAAACATTTTTAACATTGGCAATGGAGTGAAGGTAAAATATATTTGTAGTATCATTTACTATGAAAAGTTTATAATGCAATTTATATTTTACCAAAACAATAACTTGGAAGTGGAGATGTGGTTCAAGTGGTAGAATGCCAGCCTTGAGCAAAATGCCAAGCAACATGAGGCCCTGAATTAAAGTCACAGTCACAGCATTTATGACACACATTTATGACATACAATGTAAAGTGAGAATTTCTTATCTTTGGAGGTCAAGGAAAGGGAGGAGCTGGTAAGAGAAAGGAATGGTACTATCATAATATTCAATATGAAAACTGAACCAGGTAGTTTGTGGGAATGGGTGGGTTTGAGAGATGGGGGAAAAGGATGGAAGGGGTGACATTGATCAGGATTCATTGTACACAGAAACTGACATGTTGAAATGAACCCTTTTGCACAACTACCTAAATAAAAAATAAAAAATTTTAACGAATACCTTGTGTCATATCAGACTATGTAACAACAAATGGTTCCAAAGAATCAAGAAATATACCAGAATATGTCAGGAAGTCATTACTACCACTTGAATCATTAAAAACAAAATAAGTTGTGTCTGGTTGCTCTCTCCTGTAATCCTAGCTACTCAGGAGGCTGAGATTTGAAGATCATAGTTCAAAGCCAGCCTGGAAAGGAAAGTCCATGAGACTCTAATCTCTAATTAACCAGAAAACAACAACAACAAAAACTGGCAGTGGAGCTGTGTCTGAAGTGGAAAAGTGCTAGCCTTGAGGAAAAAAAAAAAAAAAAAAGAACCTCAGGGATTATGTCCAGACCCTAAATTCAAGCTGTAGAACCAGTATAAATAAGTAAACAAATAAACAACCTATTTCTAATAGCATATTTCAAAAACCATCAGTGCACTGGATTCTGGACTGCCATCATAGCCCTTTATGAACTTTATATACTCGAGCAACAGCTTCCAGTGTTAAGCAGAATAAATCAGCACTTGGTAGAAACTATCCTAATTGGTAACAAAAATGATATAATGTCTAATTCTTGGGGGTATATTTGAGAGAAAAAATTCTATTGTACTACTAGGCATGCCCTCTATTACTAAACTTTTCAGAAGACAGAACTGGCAATAAAAATTGGATGTTAGAGATGTTTCCCTCACTATTTTTTTAAATTTAATTATGTGAGTTTACTTAATGTTGATACTGAATGATCTCTGTGAGCATACACTTATGCAAAAGGAAAGAAATCCTTCAACCATTGCTGATTCTCCCAAATATAGTTAAGTATATGTATCCAAATATGGTATATGCGACTAACAGCTGAGATGTAACGCAACGGAGACTGCTGGAAATCCACTAAAATCTAGGCACACAAAATGCTTAAGAGCAGATTGCAAATTTGTGCAGAAATGTAGCAAGTTTTGGCAAATCTCTAATAGTCTCAGATTTATTAACAACTGGCTTTTCTTAAGAACATTAGTTAACTGAAGGACCTACCTGAACTTTAACACAAATATTTACAAATGTATAACAAGTCAAACACTACAAACAAAAATATCCCACCATAATTGTACGTTCTGCATTAGTGCATACTGCAGCCACCCAAAACCAGTAACTTAGAAAAAATAAGCATATTGCTTTGCATCTCATTCTACATTTTCCTTAGAATATATATGCCATTTTCTTCTATTCTGAAGAAAAACAACATTTGTTTTGTTTTTTAAGAGAATCTTATTAAAATAAAATTTATATTTTAAAGCCTATGCAATTAATACACTAAAAATCTCTTTACTTTTAGCATTTGCTTTTCTTAGAAGTAAACTTAAAATACTTAACTCCTAAATAACTTAAAAACTATTTTTGATTCTAGGAACTATGTCTTGTGCCCCTTCCTGTTGTATATTTTGAATATTAAAACAGTAAGTTGAAACATGTCACCTTTCCTTCAAGAGTATACCATTTAATATGGATATAGGTTAAAAATACATATTTAAAAATACAATATTCTACAAGCAGCTCCAATTATGTGAAAATGCAATGTTGGTAAGTATTTTATAGGAAAGAAAATTTTATGGTTAAAAACTAATACTTTAAGAAGGGATTCTTACAAAATTGATAAAAATTATCAGTCCCATGAGACTTGGTAGGTCCATTTTCCTATTTTATTGATGAATAACCTGAGATCCAGGAAAGGTAATTAATTGAACCACATTAAGCACTAGAAACCAGATATTTAAATTGGGCTCTACTCGCTAAATCAAAACTATGTCTAGATTTGTCATTTTCATATAAGTAATCTAATTTGGTTACTGTGAAAACCTTATCAGATAATAGTAGAAGCTAGTGTTCATTTAGAACATAACATGTAGCTGTTCTATAGCATATTAATTTATTTATATCACACAGAACCTCACCAAAAATGTCTCTAGTATTATCCCATTTTGCAGAGGAAAAAGTGAGGCTCAGAAAAAAAAATGATAAAGAGCCCACTCTCACATGAGTTCAGAGCAATTGGTTCCAGCAATAACGTTGTTTTTCATCACCTCCCTTAGAAAAGGGTAACATTAAAAAGCTGATTAAGAAACTTGCCCAAAGTCACCAGTTAAAGAATGTGTGTGTGTGTGTGTGTGTGTGTGTGTGTGTGTGAATAAGGAGGATATGTTCTAACTCAACACCTTAGACATGTGTTTTGTATTTTAAAAAATAATCCAATACTTGAAATAATCTAACTCAGAGGGTTAAAACACCTTTGCCTGTGAGCTGGAGAGGGACACAGGCAGAATAAGGCCAGGGAAGACTTATATTCTACAAACGAGAAGCAAAAGAGGGTAAAATAAGTGTGTGTACAGGGACAAGTGGATTTGCTATTCTGATGGAGGGATTATGAACTGCAAGGATAAGGACGGATGATTCTAATTAAGGAAGTCAGTAAGAGATAAAGACTAGACTGACTTGTTTTGAGAGAAAATTTAAAGCCACTGAAAGATTTGGAGAGATGTTATAATTCCCCACTAAAAAAGAGATACCTCATATTAATATTATTTCAATAAAGATATTTAAAAAGTCTATCACACTAGAAATATAGAATCACAGTAAAAATCTTTTTTCACATTTTCATTCTTCCATCTTTTTTTTTCTTCCTAAAGTGGCATTTGTACTTTAGCAATGCCTTTTCATTGTTAAAAATCTTCCTGTAAAGTGGAGACTAAGGAAGGAATAGAATTAGAATAATGTGCTTCTCACAAATTTTTGCACCATGATTCCTTGGTGCTCGGTACTTTGGCATATAGATTTTCCTTCAAATTGTATTCAACCAGATGAAGGAAATCCCAACAAAGTCTCACTGCAACAACTAAGTGGAAATGCCCGCCTAAACCTTAGCACATGTTAAAAGTAGAATTTCCAACAGATACAGGAAAGTAAGCATGGCAGAGAACAAAGACAATGATACCAGCACATTGGTAAGAAACATAATTTAAAAGAAAGAGTCAATGAGGAAAATTATAAATATGGAATTTCTTCTCTCCTTACTTATAATAAACCAGGTCACTGAGATGCGGATCAACTATAGTATTGTGTTCATTTTATATTTTATCAAACTATAAATCCCCATGGAAACACTTTAGACACGTACCCCAAATAACTGAATTGCCTTACCATATTAGTATAAGCGCTTTTGCATGAGTTCAACAAAATAGAATGAATACAGTCAGAAGGGTTTTTTTGGTTTATGTCAACAGCTATTTTATGACTATGAGTTATCTCAGTGACTAGAAACTGCATTGTAAAATACATTACACAGCTTTCATGCTGAAAATCAAGTAAAGGTCTAAACTGCACCCAGAAATACCAAATCAAGCTTCACTTCCTAGAAGATAGTAACATTAATTCTCCTCCCCTAGCCATGGCTGTTAAATATACCTTGATAAATTAAGTTCAAGTGTAACTACAATTGGAATATATGATTCAACTGAGCTATGACCTATTTTTTTCCCCTCTCAAAAGCAAAAGGGGAATTGTGAGAGTTGTGAGACTAACAATTCTCCATTTAAGGATCCTTCTCAAAGTTATTTTACAGTAGAGCTAAAAGCAAAATGTACTTTGTGACAGACAATCCTTTGCTTTACAAAACAGTTCCTTATGTTACTGCTCATAAGACAGCTAGAATTTTAATTATTTATGAAATAATTGTACATATATGTTCATTTCTTTTTATGCTGCACACAGAAGAGGTACTCAGGAAGGAAAAAATGTCTGTATTTCCTAGGATACTTAAGTCTAAAATTCAATTATGACTACATATTCACTTACAAGAGAACTAACAATGAACATGACAAATACAAAATTAAAGAAACATACGGTTGAAAATACCCACCCCTAGCAGAAAGCTTTTTGGTGTTGATAATTTTGGCTGCATACTCCTGTCCAGTAGGAATTTTCATACATCTTCGTACCACCGAGAAAGCCCCCCTGAAAAATCAATAAATAATAGGTCATCAATAAAATGACAGGTAGTTTTTATTGAAATTTACAAAACTGTCAAATCTCAGAAAAGTCATATTAAAAAAGCTACTTTTCCTAGAAATCAGACCTTTTTTTTATTCTTTAATACTGGGGAATAAATTTTTTTATTTAACTGGAAACACAATTATTAATCAACAAAAATGAAAGGAACTGCCAACTATGATCATTTGTGCTTGCACATGGAATTTGAAAACACTTTTACAATTCACACTCACACAAGCACCAAATGCTCTGGGGGAGGGAGGGGAACCTGTAAAAAAGCAGAACTGAGGAAGAGCAACAAAAGAAAGAAAGAGAAAAAAGAGAAAGAGAGAAAGAGAGAGAGAACGAAAGAAAAGGAAAGAAAGAAAGAGAGAGAGAGGAAATAGAGAATCTGGTGCCTATGTATTTTGGTAGAGAAATATAATTAAGGTGGCGCCAAGCCTAAGGGAAAATGGAGATTGTTTTCCCACATATAATATAATATGTACATTATAATATATATATATATATATATATTTCTCCAGTGTACTGATGTGGTTTAACAAATCCTGGGATGGTGATGTGTCTCTGCCCTGTTTGGGTCTGGGCGAGGGGAGAGGTTTGAATTCAGCAGCTCTTCCGACATACTGTCCATTTTTAACAGCAGACAATATAGAAAGAGGCAATGTTTATTACATTAAAACAAAACATTTACATCTCCCTTCATCTACCTGCATAAAACAACAGCACAGGCAAAACTAGCAATAATTAGCAACTGGACTTGAGTAGGATACTACATAAATCCGTGTCCGCGGCGCGGGTCCTCCGTGGACATGCTGTCCCCTGCCCTGGCATCTCCCGGGGAGTTTTGTCACTTGAGTGTAGGAAGTCGTGTTGGTCCTGTGCTAGGCTAAACCCCTCGGGAAGCGCTCTGCCTGTCTCCACAGGGGTTTTCCGTTGCCTGTATAAATAAATCCGCCTGGATAAAGAAAAGATGCCTAACTCGGAAATCCCAGGCGGAATAGTGAACGGGAATCGAGCGCAAAGGAAGAGAATGGAAGAGCGGAGCAGGAGATTTGGGTTTGGTCGGGTGACCTTTTTTTTTTTTCCTTTTCTTTCCTGGACAGAACAACTAACTACTGGATGCGAAACAAGACTGTGCACTATGGCCAAGTTCAACTTTCGGCATCCATAAACATGGCACCGCCTGTGACAGCCCAGTGCTCCCTCATCCGGGATGGGGGTGCAGGGGGGGTCAGGTCACCGACCCACACCGGCCGGCGAACCCGGAGACATCTATTTATGGAAAACGGGGGGGGGGGGGGAATGTGGCATTCAACCCGGGTTCTAGCTTCCTCTCCACATGCAAGCGCGCGCACTCACACACACGCGCGCACACGCGCGCACACACATACACTTATTCTGGTGACAGCTACAACTGCAGAGATCGTAAATTCTGTCTCCCTCTCTAAGTCTCCGGAATGACAGGGATGCATCAATGATGGGGTGAAGGTGGGGGGGGGGTCCCTGGCTAGGTCCCCTCCCCTGACACCGCATCTTCCCCAGACACACAAGTCAGGGATCCCCGTCCTTCCCGTCTCCGGAACTCCCTCCCGCCCCGGGCCAGATGGAGGTCGCGGGGGTCCGGAGAGGGGGCTGGGGAGGAACCTCCTGACCCGCCCTCCCTCCGCCGTGGGGAAGGGGAGCTGAGCTGCCCAGCACAGGCGCTTACTTTCCGAGCTCCTCGAAGAGCTGATACTCGTCGGTGAACCTGGTGCAGGTGGTGGTGGAAGCCATCCTGGCTCGGGTTCGGGCTGTGCCCTGGCCGGGAGCGCGAAGGGCGCGAGGCTATCCGGCGCACGGCTTCCCCGGGACTGGCCCGGCGGCGCTGTCACCAGGGCCGCCCTCACTTTCCTCGTCCGTCCGAGAAAGTAGCTGGTCCGCGGCGAAGGAGTGCGTGTAGGGGCGGGGCGGGGCGGGAAAGGAGAGCTGACCAGAAAGGGGGGGGTGGCGTGGGGTTCCTCCTCGGCGTCCCCACGCTCCGCCGATCCTCTTCCAGTCGGCTTAGCCAAAGCTTCCTTTTCCAGACCCTCTCCCCAAATGTGGGGTGGGGTGGTGGGGGGGAGGAAACAGGGAAAATGAGGGGTGGCACCGAGCGCACGGTTGCGAAACGATCTCGGCACCCGGGGCAGGAGGGGTGAAGGGTGGAGGGGAAGGCGTCCGATCGGGGCGGAGGCGGGGAGAGGAAGGCGGAGGGGCCGAGGCCGCGGCCGGAGCGGAGCCGGGTGGAGCGGAGCCGGGCGCACAGCCCCAGCCCAACTGCAGCTGTCAGGCAGGCGCGGGGCGCCTAGCGCGGGGCGCGCCGCACTCGGTGGAGCGCGCGCACCCGGGATCGGGGGTGGGAGGGCGGGGAGGAGGAGGAGGAGGCTCCCTCCCGCGGGGTGGCACTAGCGGGGGGTCCCCCGCACCACCGCGGCCTCGGGCTCCCCGCGATGGCCCGCAAAAGCTGGGAGACGGCGGCGCGGCGAGCGAAAGAGCGCTGGGCTCGGGCGCTGTGGTCCGCAGGGCTGCGTCTCCGCCCTCGGCGCCTCCTCCCTCCCTCCCCTCCCTCCGTCCTCCCTCCAGCCAGCGAGCACCCCTCCCTGCCGAAGCCCCCTCCCTGCCGCCGGCCCCACACCTCCCCCTAGCGCCCCGCGGCGCTCCCTCCCTCGGTCCCCAGCGCCCGCCACCCGTCTGGGGACGCGGGGAGAAGCTCGGGGGGCCTCCAGGTGAATGACGCGAGGTGTCCACATCACCCACGGCGCCCCACACATCGCTCACACCCGCGGCTGGCCGAGCGGGCCCGTGCGGGGCCGCGCGTGGATGGGCAGCTGCGGGGTGGGGCGGGACCGTGGACCCGCGCCCCACCCCGGAGCCAGCTCTGGGCCACAGTCCCCGGAGCAGCCTGGCAGGGGGACGCCACCGCCGGGACAGACGCCACTCGGCGCTGAGCCGGATGTCCTCGGCTTCCAAACACGGGTCCCCACGCGCCACCGCCCGGGGAAGCGACTGGGGGGGGGGCCTGGGCTGGGGTCCGCACCCCGAGGGGCCCGGGCAGCCCGGGGCGGGCGCCACGTTTCCATTTGGATTGGACCGTGCCACCCCACCCCTGCCGATTCCCCTGGAGTTTATCAGACTCGGGCCACCCCCGAAGGCCCGGCCAGACGGGGCCTAGCAACCTCCGGGGGGAGGCGGGCGAACTCCGGCCCGGGCCACGCCTTCCCTCCCGGCCCCGCAGAGCGAGCGACTCCCGGCCAGCCTCCCAAGTTCTGATAGTAAGTGAGATCTCGCGAGATCCCGGCCCCGAGGGGGCGGGGAGAGTAGAAAGTTGGGTGTCCGTCACGCGACCCAGTGGGGGGCTGACGTCACTGTCGTCACGTGAACGTGTCTAGTCTCTCACTTTGCAAAGGGAAGGAAAAAGGAGAGGTCATGCATGCATGCGTGTGTGTGCGTGTGTGTGCGCGCGTGTGCTTGGCTTGCACGCGCCCACAGGGGCCAGATCTGCTCTGGTAGGAACCGCCCAACAGTCCAGAATTTACATCTTACACTCCCTGGCACCTCTGCCATTGTTTTATTTTTTTTTTCTGTAACTAGAAGACATAATTATGCACGACATTTAAAATAGATGAGTTACTGGGGATTGCTAAACATAGCTTCTGGGCCTTCTTCCCGGAGCCAGGACTTTAGTGAACTGTACACGAAGGCAAATTTGGAGGCAGAACTAAAAAAGAAAAAGGAAATTGGAACTGTCATAGTTCAAGTGAATGCCTTTTGTTTCTCCATACAGCCTGGGACCATGAAAACTTTGTATTCCCCTTTCTCATTGGTTCATAGTTAGTATTACATCATGAGCTTAAACATTCACAGTTGGAAGATGGAAGGCTTATTCACAGCAGAGAATTGAAGGTTTATTAAAGGTTGTGTTGCTGGTTTCCAAGACAGGCTGCTATAAATAGATAAATTACTTTACCTACTGTCACACAGTAATCTTCATTATGTTATTTCCTGATCAAAAGACCACTGTTTTGCTGATGTCTGAGAGGTTAATAAAACATTTTAATGCTCTTTAAAAAAATATGGTTGTAGATCTTGCAAATATTATCAGCACTTCAGATATACTTTCCCACCACCAATCAATATTTTTGTGTTACATTAGTATTCACTGTCTATGGTATTAGAACTATGAAATGGTGCTCTGTAATCCAGTGAAAAAATTCCCTTTGCTTGATTTTATTTGTACCTGTTGTTAATTCTTCCCATTTCTTTCAAATAATTTCTCCACATAATTTTCAACAATGCCTAGCACATCAGGCTATCCCTTGTTTTCTTTCTTGGATGTGTCCCACTATGGTAATTTTTTTCTTGGATATGTCTTATAGAGACCACTGCTGTTCTTCTGATGCTATGGAGCACTGCTTCATCCCTAAAATTCTCTGCCTTTTCTCTAATGCGGGTGCCTTTTCTTATATATAATTTCTTGGTTTTTTTTTGGGGGGGGTCCGGTCGTGGGGCCTGAACTCTGGGCCTGGGCGCTGTCCCTCAGCTCTTCAGCTCAAGGCTAGCCCTCTACCACTTGAGCCACAGCGCCACTTCCGGCTTTTTTCTTTTTGCTCATGTGGTGCTGGGAATGGAACCCAGGGCCTCAGGCATGCAAGGCAAGCGCTCTACCACTGAGCCACCTTCCCAGCCCCTTTCTTGTTTTTTTTTTGAAATATAAATATATATTATCTTTCAGGTTCATAACATTTTTTAAGACTTAGGAGAACAAAGTTTGTGTTTGAAGTTTGTGCACATCTTGATTCCCAGCCATAAAAAAGCACTTTGTGAAAATGTAGTGATTTAGAAAAGGATGACACCAGAAACTACACAAAGGAAGAAGATGTAAGTGATACTTAAATGGCTTTTGCTCAGAAACACTGACTACTTCCTTGTGCCCACAAATTAACTCAAAGCAGGATAAATACTAGACATCCTTGCCTCCATTTTTTTTTTTGTATGTGTGTACTCTTCCTGAGTCTTTCTCCAACAATCACCTTGGGACACCAGGAAGGACAAGATTTATGGATAAGCATCTTGCAACAAAAGACAAAACTTTCGCAAAACAGAAGCACAGCTCAAAGCTCGGGATGGATCATTTGACAGACAGCAGTGACTTGTTCCCTCTAATGATGTAATTACAACTTTGGACAAATCTCTTTGGAATCTCGGGAAAATGAAGACTGAGATCATGGTCAACCAGGCCACAAATTGGAACTGGGACTGTTTATGCATTATGCACACATGTATCTTCTTGCTCTCAATTCTCTGTTTAAACCTAAAAGTCATGTCTGTACCCCAAAGATAGCTAAACATGGCCTTAAGTATCTTAACATCATAAATCTTCTTTCTCTACTTTCATCGTGCCTCTTTATTTAGCTTGTGGAGAGGTGGTGGTGGCCAGGCTTCTAGAGTTTGGGCCTGTGGCCTAAACCTCTGGTTTCAGAAACATGGCATTTAAATATTAATAATAAGGCTACAAGCTGAAAAAAAATCTGGCCTTGGGTAAAGATTTTTGATTGATAGCTTAAATAGTAAGCAATATAACGCTAAGTTATAATGAAATAATTTAATAGCCTTCTCTGAATCTAAAAATGAAACAGAAAACAATAAAATTAAAACAATAAATAATGGTAATATGAAACTTTGCAACTCTGGAAAGAAAATTGTTTCTTAAATAGTAAAGAAATAAAACCTACATAATTACAGTATTTATCTCAGTTATTTAAACTACAAATAATTGTGAATAGCTATGATAATTGTATACTATAATAAAGGAAACATAGCTGAGTTTCATTATTGGTATATTATTAGACAACAAATGTGTACATTTTTATACAAATGGTGCTTAATCAGCCCTTACTGGTTGATCTATATTTTGGACTAAAATGTTCATCTAATGTGCACAAATATTTACTATATTGATAAATTTTGAATTTCCTTAAGATAGGGATCAAAGATTGCTGTTATCATACTTTAACAACATTTCAGAAATAGCTACAAGAGTTAAATTTTAAACCATCATATCTAGATCAATAACAGTAGACTAACACTGAATGTTACTCTTCAGTTTAGTGACAGATGTATTTACATTTCATCAAAAGCTTAACTGTTCCCCTGATCAAAAGGAAAGGAAAAGAGTTAAGAGGAGAGATTAATCAAAATGTATTCATGAAATTTATTTAACTTGATGAGACAGGCTTCACTCAAATCAGACTATGGTGACAGAGAAGGCTGGTTTTGAAATTGGGGAGTTAACTCAAATCTGACTCCAAAAAAGACAAGTGGAAGTTTATAATCAAGGGGGTTAGTGGGTGTAAAATTTCTGAATAAATTTAATAAATATTTGGAAATGCAACATTTATTGATTTTTTTCCTTGATACAAAATTGTGAGAAAAGAAACTATGGGGAGAAAATGTTATTTCAATAGGTGCCAAAGCACATGGTCCTACAATCGTAAGTAGATCCTGCAAAAATTGTACCTGAGTGTATTTAAGCCAATCTCTGCTGCAGATTTGAGGCAGCCAGAGGAAAAATACAACTTGCTGTTGGTTTCTCCAGTTTGCCTTGCTATGTGATAACTTAACTCTTCTGAGCCAGACACAGATACAATCTAAGATAACATCTCCTTCTCATAGGACCATCAGATTGTGCCAGATGAGTCAAAATGGCAGACAAAGAAAGAAAACCAAAAGAAATAACAGAAGAGACTTAGTCTCCAGATGCTGAAATCTTTTTTTCCTAAAAATAAAATGAATTGAGTAGATATGCAATAAAATAATGCCAATATATCAATGCAATGAAGAAATGGCTGTTTTCCATTATCTTCAACTACTTGCATTGATTAGCCTACTTGATCCTCAGATAAAAGCCATCTTTTCTATCACCGTGTGAGGCCTCCTTTCTGTGATGTTTCTGCATTAGCCAGGGGTCTTGGCCCTAGTAGATTGCATTGTACTTACAACCTATTCTTGTTACACTTTAATTAAATCCTGTTACAAGCTGTTTCCCGTTGATTAAGACATCTTGTTCCTGTTCACGAAGCCAAATGAGGTTGCAAATTGTGAATCTGAGCTCAGCTAGGCCAATCTGAGTAGAGGGGCAGGGCCTACTGCTTTAGGGATAAAAGGGGAGCAGCCT